CTACTTGGAACCCACCCACCTCTGTTACTTTGATAGTTAAGAACACCAGTAGATGGGGAATTGAGATAGCAAGTGTAGTACCAGCCACTTCTGTAACACCTTCTGTTGTTCCATCCACATGTATAGTAGTACCCACTTCGCCAACATTTACTAGGTAACTGACTTGAAGCCGTTAAGCTAGATGTTTGAAGCTTTTGTACCTCATTAACTATTTGATAAAATAAAGATTCAAGAAGGAGTTTCGAGAATGCACTGACATTAAGTCGCTGAGTCAGATTATATTTCATATTAAAAAACTGGTCATTAGGAACAGCAAGTGGGGCTTAATAAAAAACTGCTATTAAATAGGACGTCAAGCACTGTAAAGCCTGGCTCATCACTAAAGCCTGGATTATCACTAAGCCTGGGTTATCTAAGCCTGGTTCATCACTAAGTCTGGGTTATCATACTAGGCCTGTGCCTGGATTATCACTAAGCCTGGGTTATCACTAAGGCTGGTTCATCACTAAGCCTGGATATCACTGAGGATCACTAAGGGCGATAAGAATAGGCATAAGCCAAGAACAAAACAAAAGAAAAAGGAATGAAGTCAAGCTTGTGGTATAAGACGTTAACATAAGCAATTTTTAGCCATAAGCATACAGAATAACCTAATGAAAGACAAAAGAACAAACAAAAAACACCTTATTCTTTTCTTAAATCCCATCTAATCCCAAAATTTATTTAAATTGTTTTTGTATAGTTTAAAACACGAGAGAGAGTGTTTTATCAGGTATAAAGATTCGAGCCGAAGGCGAGAATCTTTATACCTGATAAAACACGATCTCGAGTGTTTTAAACGGCTTAAAAAACTCCAACACTAATTTGAGACTCAAATCCGTTAAAATTCTTGGAGAAATTGCCGTACAAATATGTTCAGAGATAAATGGGGCAAACTGATCATGCGCGAATCACTTTACAAAGCACTCTTGTCATCCCACATTGAATACGCATAAAGTAAAATAGAACCGCTCTTGGCTGTTCACTGAAATCGGTTGACATCCTGCATTGGTCAATGATCAGGTTTCAAACCTGAGACCTTTGCTAGGGTCATGGACCTTTATATCTGATAAAGGTCACCCTTATTAGTATTCTTTATATAAAGAATACTAATAAGGAGTGTTTTATCAGATATAAAGGTCCATGCATGTGACCAAATAGGCTCATTCTATTGGCCTAGTAGCTCATTAATTATGTATGAGTTTTTTAAA